CCTCCTCCTCCTCCTCCTCCGCCTCCTCCTCCTCCTCCTCCTCCTCCTCCTCCTCCTCCTCCTCCTCCTCCTCCTCCTCCTCCTCCCCTTCTGCCGCTGCCCAGGCGGCGCCGAGCCCGAAGCGCGCGCTGAGCCGGCGGCACCGCCGCGCGGCAGCGCTCGGGAGGCGGACCGCCCCCCGCCTCCGGAGCGCCGCGGCCGCGCCTCCTTGTCCGCGGCGGGTCCGTCCACGTGCCGCGGACAAGGAGGCGCGGGCAGCGGCATGGGCAGGGGGGCCAAGCTGGGTGTGCTCGCGGCACGTCCCACGCCTGTGCTCCCGTCCCGTCCATCGCGCTGGCTGTTCCTCTAGCCGCCGACGGGTGTCGTGACGTCGTGACGGACCTGGAGCACGCAGGAGGGCCCCTGGACAGGGAGGGTGGGACGGGCACGGAGAAGGGGAGGTTGGGGGGGGGAGATGGGGAGAGGGCTGATGGGGCTACGGGAAGGGAAGGGCAGCGAGAACGCGTGTGAGGCTCGGCTCGCGGATGGGGAAATCAAGAAATCCCGTCGTGGCCAAGATGGCGCGGGTGGGTGGCCGGAGGAGGGGTCCTGCGAATGCGAGGGGGGAGGGTGGGGGAGGGCAAGCGAAGCCCAGGCGCGGGAGAGGAGGGGAACGAGAAGGGAGCTGGGGACGGGGAGGAAGCCGCTGCCGAGGAGAGGGGTGACGCGGAGGAGGGCTCGAGGAGACAGACGGGGATCTGGGTGGCGGGGCGGGGCGGGGATGGCTGCGGCCGTCGCTCCAAAACGCGCAAGCAGGCCCCTCAAGCCCTACGAATGACAGCGCGTGGCCGCCCCCAGAAGCTTCGGGAGAGCGAGAGAACCTGCATCATACCATTGGGACCAATGATCAATCTCCTTGAGATCGCCGTGACAAGTGGAGCCGCGACCATCTAAAAGAAGAGGGCGTCTTTGAGAATGAAGGGGTACCGGGGGTGGAGATGGGGTGGATGCGAGAGAGAGAGAGAGACATAGAGGGATAAGGAGAGAAATCGAGACATCAAAAATAACGAGAGCGATAGAGAGATGATATGATATAGAAACATATACGGTGAAAGAGAGATACAGAAACATGCGGAGAGAGACAGAGAGAGAGAGAAAGGGAGAGAGAGAGAGAGAGAGAGAGAGAGAAAAAAAAAAAAAAAAAAAACATAGAAAGAGGGAACGGCATGGAGAGATGAAGGGGATAAGGGTAACCAGAAGGAGGACGACGAGCATGACGATGATGATGCTGATGCTGATGCTGATGCTGAATGTGCTGCTGAAGGTGCGAGTGATATGATATGCTATGATTTGATATGATATGAGGTGTTATGATCTGATCTGGTGATGATGACGAAGAAGAGGAGGAAGAGGAGGATGAGGAGGCGGAGGAGAATGAGCAAGGAGGAGGGGACGGACGAGGCAGATGCGGAGGCGTCGGAGCACGAGGAGGACGTATCTGAGGCTGGTGCAGAAAAGCTGGGGCGAGCGGGCGGGGAACACCCGCGCCTCGCGCTGCATCTCGCTGAAGGCGCTCAGCGCCCGCGACCACTGCTGCCCCTTCTCGCCTCGGCGGGGCGGCCCATCCGCCCTCGCGAGGCGCGGCGCCTCCCAAAGAGCGCGCGCCGCGTCGGCATGTTCTCTTGGGCGCCGCACTTTCTTCGGGCGGGAGGTCGGAGGAGGGCACCAGGACAGAGGACCCAGAAATCCAACGCATGGAAGAAATCAAGACGGAGGTCTTTCGCAATTGTCGGCCTCTAGGGGCCCTCGCTGGGCCCCAGGACCGTCAAACAATGATTCAAGATACAAAACCCTGTCCTGGGGAATCCGTCGAGACTTCCGGGGACCCCGTGCCGACAAAAATCACGACATCGGATCTCTGGGGATGGGGCAAGGGAAACGGCGGCCTGGAGGTCCCAAGGCCTGCACCCCTTCACACGGGGCATGCTCGCCCGGCTTCGGCCCCCGAGGCCATCGCAGATCGGTCCGGCCGGGACTTTGCCGCAGAGAGAGGGGGTCCGGGGCTCTGGTGGTGCCCTTGTTCGCGGTGTTGCATGTTGCCTGCAGCGTCTGATCCCAAGGGACAAAAGGAAAGCAGGGACGAGAACAGATGGGGCAGGGAGGAGAACAGCGGAAAAGGGAGGAGGTGAGGGAGCAAGCGGGGAAGAGATAACATATCGGGGACGCGTCAGAACAACGCCGAGCTGTACGGAATCAAATTTCCGGGCTGGCCGCTTTGCCATAGTTGCAGCAAGGCAGGAACAACAGGTGTAATAACTACTTCCGCACCATCACACACACATACATATATATATATATATATAAGATCACACTGGAAGCAATACAACATACTCCATTTCAGAACAAAAAGCGGGCAGCGGAGAAAAACACCTGAAACAGCAACTGACGTATCGAAAGAAACGGCGGCAAGGCGAACCAACGAATTCAAATCAGTTGGAACTCCCCATAAAAATTTGGCGGCGAATCGTCTTGTGACCAGTGCGGAATTATTCAGGCGGGCTGCGTTTTGCAATCCGTTGAAAAAACTACAACGAACATAACAACACAGAATACCTTAGGCGGGCGTGGGACTCTCCCGAGAAATATTCGCAATTCTACTAAAAAAGCGCACCGCGTGACGCGGAAGTGAGATATTTTTCAATTCCCAACCAGACGAAACATTTCAACCCGCCCGCCGGCGCAACCGGAATCGCAACTAGGCAACAACAAAATGGCGGCGGGCTCGCCAGCCAAAATCAGTTCAAAATGGCGGTGGCGGGGGGGGCGCCCCCCAGTCAGTACTGCAGTGAGCACCGAAGAAACCGTAGTGATTATATAAGTATACAAGACTGCATTGGCGCGTCGCGCTATGCACCTTGGTCCTTGAGGTTGTGCATATGTTGGTCGTTCGCGCCATCCCCAGTGGCCTTGGAAACTTGGCCCCTTCCCTGCGGTGGTTTTCGGGAGTCTTCGAAAATTCGGGAGGACCCTGGCCTGTCCCAGGACTCCAGTGGTGGAGCGGCAGAAAAACGAGGAGGAGGAGGAGGAGAAGCCAGAGGAGGAGCAGGAGGGAAAGAGAAGTCGCCGTCGGGGGGGTTCATGTGTACGTACACGCTTGCAGAACTGTCCTGCAATGAATGACGACAAAAGGCCTTCGTAGGCCCGCACATTGGCTGGCTCGTGGCTCGGGTGCCCTGGCGCGCAATGCGAAGTAACGGCAAGCCATGCGAGTGAATGCCAAGCAAACCGACGCACTGTCACGCAATGCCGCAAAGCACAAGGCAATGCCGAGGATGTCATGTTGTTGCGGGTCGCACTGGGACGCGCGAAAATGAGTGATTATTAGGGATCCTGGGTTTGCGACAGATTTCCAGAAAATCCGCCGACCCTGTCGGCGTGTGGAAGACGCATCCCGGTGTCGTCTTCTTGCGTGGATCACCGTCGTCGTCGTCGTCGTCGTCGTCGTCGTCGTCGTCGTCGTCGTCGTCGCCCGAAATACAAGGAAATCGAACAAGAAACATAAGGAAATCGTAGTCGTGGCGAAGCCCCTCCCTACCTTCCCCACCGGGGTGGGTGGGGGGCAAATACGCATCCCCCTGGGCGACCCTCTCCCTCCCTCTCCCCCTCCCTCCTCCTCCTCCTCCTCCTCCTCCTCCTCCTCCTCCTCCTCCTCCTCCTCCTCCTCCTCCTCCTCCTCGTCCCCCTCCTCGTCCCCCCTCCTCCCCCCTCCCCCTCCTCCTCCTCCTCCTCCTCCTCCTCCTCCTACTCCGCCACGTCTTCATTTACCTCCGACGTCTTATCACGCATTCCGTCACCCTCGAGGGCCGAGGTATCCAGGGTCGGCGGCACTGGCCGTAGGGCCTTAGCAATACGGTTGCATATGGATGCGAACCCGGGATTTGGGTCAGTTTGGTGGAACGCGCCGTGTGGGCCTTGATGGAGCCCTGGTGGGCCGGCTCGGGGCCCTCTCGAGCCGTCCTGGGGCCATCTTGGGCCGTGGTGGGGAGCTTGGGCCCTCTAGGGACCTTACGGGGGCTACGTGGGCCCTCCTGGTGGCCTCCCATGGCCTTTCGGGGGCCTCCCATGGCCTTCTTGGGTTTCTCTTTGGGGGCATTGTGAGGGCCTGTTGGGCTTCTTTTTGGCCCATGTTGGGCTTCTTTGGACAGTCTTGGGGCCATCCAGGCCGTCTAGAGGCTCTCTTGGGGGTCTCTTGGGCCGTCTTGGGGCGATACTGGAAGCCTTTTGGGCTGTCTTGGACGCTGCTAAGACTCGAACAGCGAATCTGCTGAAAATGTACGTCTCCCTCAAGGAATGAAGCGATTTCTGCGTTCTGGGAGTCCTGTTGAGGGCCTCCTGGGCCGTCTTTTTTTTTTTTTTCTCGGCGGGCGGACGGGCTGTTGGAGACGCGGCGCCGCCGCAGCCTGGAGGAAAATGCGAATCTGCACAGACAGTGGGCGCGCGACCATACTTCTGGAAAAGACGCAGCGCACCCCCAACCTCGAGCCTCGGGCTCGATGGTCTTTCAGAAAACCATCGGGGCCGGAAGCCGAATGCGCAGAGCATCGCTGCGGTACAGTCACAATGGCACCTTCCTATGGCATCCGCTGAGTGGTGCCGCCATGCCCTGGCTAGCCCCCTCGTAGATCCGAGGGCAAAGATCCAGTAAGCGGCGGCCCTCCTCGTGCGGCAAGCCAGGAGCAAATCGAAAAGCTGCGCAAGTCACCGCTTCGCCGCGGGACCAGCGGATGGGTGCCTCAGCTCTGGCAAACCTTTGGCTGCCATAGACCGCTGCAACTATGTCTGCGTGCGGAGGAGGAGGAGGAGAACAGCCCGGAAAGCTTCGGGGAAGGAAGAAACACAAAGAGAAGTCTGCCATTGGCCACTGGAGCTAAGCCTGAACCGCCCCGGCGCACCACTGCACATCAAAACGACAATCCAAACGGCAAATTCCTGGACGCCTGTGACACAATCGACTCTGCAAAAAAAGCAATCACTGGCTACTGGTTGCTCAGACTGCACCCCTGTTCTTTTTCAATGGGCTCGCAACAGAAGCGCGGATGATACTGCACAACGCATGCCTCGCAGCAGAAGCGCGGATGATACAAATTCCGCGGTGATTTATATCATATTCATGTTGCGTGCGAGCCGCATCCCAAGATACGAGTTCAGCATTTCTTGTATCATATGTTGCGTGCCTCTCCGTATTAGCCGTTTTGGCCCTGGGTGCTCACAGGCCCCTAGACCGGCGACAACACAGTCGCTCCCGCAGGTAGTTCCTCGGGCAGGGTTTGCATGCATTGGCCTTGAGAGCGTACTGGAAAAAAGCGGGGATTCGTTCACCATTCACATCAGTACATTGCGGTCGTGCGTGCGGTGCACGGGCTATGGCAGCACAAAGCAGCCGAGGAGGCAGCATCCTCGACAGTTTGTTGGAGTCGCAAGATGATGAGCCACCGAGCAAATTTCCGAGAAATGATATATACGATCCCATCATTAACAAGGTGAAGCCGCACCTTCCCGAACCAGTTCGGCGCGAGGTGCACAAAATTTCAAAGCGTTTTGGAGAGCAGGTTGAAAAACGATTACGATTGGAGAAGAAAATCCAGAAGACCACAGAGGACATCCAGACAATAGAGACCGGTGGCTGCCCCGCAGGCACCAAACCGTTCGAAGTTCTTTTTGAAGTACCAGCTTCGGATGACATTGCAGACGAGTCAAAACTCACAGAGTGGCAATTGGCAGATATTCACGGGAGAACGTGGAGAGAAGTAAAGAACTATTTGCACACCATGTTTATCAAACTCAATAAGTGCGTGGATTTGGAAATGATGCGAAAACAAGAAGCAGACATTGCAGCACTAAGAAATTACGATGCTTTCGTCGCCGATGTGCTAACGGCCTCCAAATCGCACGAGTCCGAGATTGATAGGCTGAAGGTCGGAGTCCCTCCGGGCTTATTCGATACGTCCCAGGTCACGAAGACCGAGGCGACTGAGATATTCAAGCAGGTGTTGGAGGCCATAGCTGAAAGAGTTGATAAGGAAATACAGTATCGTGAAAAACAAGAGCGTATCAGGAAAGACACATTGCAAAAGCTTTCCCTCGCACAGCCCGCCGACATTTTCAAGAGAGCCGTTGCCCAAACGGTGAAAGATATTTCTGGTCATGGACCCCCGCCGCACAAGAATGCCGTGGACTACGTCAAGAACCTCACGGGCAGCACGGCCGAAGACTGCATCAAAGAGTACACTGACACCGCGAAGGACCAGAACACGTTCAAAGGCAAGGGCAAAGGCAGAGACAAAGGAAAAGGCAAATCATTCAAGGGGACAGTGGACAAAGGGTACAGCAAAGGGCACGGCGATGGGAATGGAAAAGGCAAAGGCAAAGGCAAGTATTCATATCCCAATACCAGAAGGAGGACAAAATCGCAGTTAAGTTGGTGGAAAGCTGAAAAATTCAAGTGTCGAGAGATCTCCAAAAAACTGGGGATCCACCAGGGCAGCCCGGTGGAAGAGCACCAACACGACGTACCACTACAGCACGAAGTACAACAAGCATTCGGCAAAGAAGTGGAAACAACAGCAACAAGGCGCCAGAAAAAGATGGAACGGATGGAAGCGTGGAAACGCCGCAAGCAAAAAGTGGACGATTTGGAAGTATCGCTCTTCTTGGAATTGACGAAAGGGTGTTCCCAAGAGGATTTTGCATGGATCGTGAATTTGGATAACGCCAGAAATTCGATGTACGTGTACAGCCATACGGATAAATCAGTGCATCACCTGTTTCCCCAAGAAGTGCCATGGCCAATCGTTTTCATCCTTACTCGTTACCATAAAAAGCACCGTATGTTGTCACGCGCGCTACCCGACCCGAAGCTGGTGAACGAGGCGGCGCGTCAACTTACATACAAACTTCAATGGAGACACCATTTTTTCGTGAATGGAGAGGAGAACGGCTCTAGACGGTACATGCGCCACTTCTCTTCGAACACACCGGCGTACCCATATTTCATGGACCCGAACATCAAAACTTGGTGTGGCATTTTTCGGCACATTGTGAGCTCCCAGGCGCGCGCGGCGCTAAGCAAATGGAAGTACTGCAACAAGACGTACTGCAACACCACTGGCTTGGACAAGTGGGCCCTCGCTCTATTAAGACAGTTTTCACATGAGGATGGAGGGTTCTGTCTCGTACACCGAGAAACTATGCGCGATGTGGCGGAGGAGATATTGAACAGCGAATGGTATGATGAAATCGCCCCACTCGGTTTCAACGAGCGCCACATCGCCGAGAGATATTCCCGACTGTGCAAAGATGTAGCAGATACAATTGAGTGCAGGCCCAAAGACATCATGGCAGCACCCCCGAAATCTTCTAGCATAGCTGATGTTCCATTTACTTGCAAAACTCATAAACCACATGGCGGAGTGACATTCCGCAATATCCATGCAGCCTCCCGTTTCTCACTGGGGGGCCTCGGGCACTGGGTAAAATCCACATTACGTGAGTCCCTCGGCGGCGTGCCTTTCCTCCTGCACGACACAGAGGATTTCTTGAGGCAGATCGGGCGTATCACCGTCAACGAATCGGACTTTTCATCAAGATTGATATCAAAGAATTCTTCATGGAGGGTTCCGCAGAGGATTTGGCACGCAACGCAGCTGCAATCGTCCAAGACCAGCGCATGCAGGACTTACTCAAGAAAGCCTTGGATTTCCTCCTTCAGAACCAGTATGTCCAGTGCAGGTGGTTACCTGACCGATTATGGCAAGTTGTTCAAGGATCTGGGATGGGATTACCATTCTCAGGCGAAACTGCGGACAGCGCTTACTACAACATTCTTGAGAAGCGTCGCGCCGGCAGCGCGCCCTACAGAGCGGAACATGGAATCAAATATTACGGCCGATTCAAAGACGATATTTTGATGATTCTGGAACCGAAGGGTAGCAAATCAAGTGAGCTTTGGGAAGATATGCGAGATCGTAGTGCCTTTTACACCCACAAGTTGGAATTCTCAAAGGGAAGTGCAACATTCTTGGACGTGCATGTCTTCAAGGGCGAGGGGTGGAGGCGCACAGGCAAATTAGATTTTAAACCGCATTTTAAACATACATCTTTAGGCATACCGCTCTCCTTCCGCTCTGCGCACCCAGTCTCTGTCCACCTCGCCTGGCCCAAAGCCGAGATCAGACGCCTGGCAAGGCGCAGCAGCAACTCGGAATTGTTCCTAGAAGCCCGTCGCATTTTCGTAGAACGGCTACGGAGATACAGTGTTCCAAATTGTGTTCTGCACCATCTCGAGTCCCTTTTTCCTCCCCTGGGTTGCCCACCTCCCCCAAACGTGCGCCCGAGCAGGGGGGAACGTGACCAGGCAGCCTTTTGGTTGGTTCTCCCGTACCACCCAGTGTGGCACCAAGGGGGGATCCAACGCAGAATAAGCGAATTCATTGAATCTGCCTTGAGCCGTGATTTCATTGTTCAGGCCTTTCGGAATCAGCAGATGGCACCCACAGTGCGAGTTGCATGGAGGCTCGATTCAAAACCGATTTTCGTGAGGCTCGCTCGGTAGTGCCAAATGCCACTGCCACTTTTTATGGTTGGAGGTTGGGGACGGTTGGTGGAGCCAACAAAAACAATGAACACTGCACAACGCATGCCTCGCAGCAGAAGCGCGGATGATACAAATTCCGCGGTGATTTATATCATATTCATGTTGCGAGCGAGCCGCATCCCAAGATACGAATTCAGCATTTCTTGTATCATATGTTGCGTGCCTCTCCGTATTAACCGTTTTGGCCCTGGGTGCTCACAGGCCCCTAGACCGGCGACAACACAGTTGCTCCCGCAGGTAGTTCCTCGGGCAGGGTTTGCATGCATTGATTGGCCTTGAGAGTGTTCAGAAAACCATCGGGGCCGGAAGCCGAATGCGCAGAGCATCGCTGCGGTACAGTCACAATGGCACCTTCCTATGGCATCCGCTGAGTGGTGCCGCCATGCCCTGGCTAGCCCCCTCGTAGATCCGAGGGCAAAGATCCAGCAAGCGGCGGCCCTCCTCGTGCGGCAAGCCAGGAGCAAATCGAAAAGCTGCGCAAGTCACCGCTTCGCCGCGGGACCAGCGGATGGGTGCCTCAGCTCTGGCAAACCTTTGGCTGCCATAGGCCGCTGCAACTATGTCTGCGTGCGGAGGAGGAGGAGGAGAACAGCCCGGAAAGCTTCGGGGAAGGAAGAAACACAAAGAGAAGTCTGCCATTGGCCACTGGAGCTAAGCCTGAACCGCCCCGGCGCACCACTGCACATCAAAACGACAATCCAAACGGCAAATTCCTGGACGCCTGTGACACAATCGACTCTGCAAAAAAAGCAATCACTGGCTACTGGTTGCTCAGACTGCACCCCTGTTCTTTTTCAATGGGCTTGGAACGTCGTACGTTGGGTAAGAGTTCGTCTGCAACTTCTCGTGAACAGGGCCCAGCAACTTTTCAAAACGCGGCTTCGACACAGACAGCGTCACCGAATCCTCGATGCACCGCACTGTGGCCAGTCTCGGACAGGCCTTCAGCAGCGCCATCTCGCCAAAGTAGTCCCCCTGCGTGTCGTAGACTTTGACCTCCTTCTCGCCCTCGTCGCCCTGCATGTAGGCGCCGACCCTGCCCTCGGCCAGGATGAAGAAGCGGTCGCCGATGTCCCCCTGCCTTAGGATGACCGTGCCCTTGCGAAAACGGTGCACCCGGAGGGCGTCGGCGAGCACGGCCAGGTCGCGCTCGGACAGCGTCCTGAGGATACCCACATTCTGGAGCCACCCTTCGTACTTCTCGTACTCTGCCTGGCGGGCGTGCACCTTCAGCATGATGAAATCCGTAGCGTCCAACGCCCAGACGCTCACCACCGGCGACGCGGCCGTGCAGGTGGCGCACCGCGGGCAGTTGTAAAGCGGAGCCAGCTCGCCGAAGATGGACCCGGCGCCGAGGGTCGCGACCTTCGAGCCCTTGTCGTTGGTAGCGTCCGCAAGCTCTCTGGAACTCTCCTCCTTGACGAAGATGTCAACGCCCCCATCTGCGATAAGGTAAATACGGTCTCCGTCATCGCCTTGAGTGATGATATCTGTGCCCGCAGTGAAATCCATGTGGTAGAGCGCCTGAATAAGTTCCGTAAAACTGTCGCCTTTCAGGTCGGTAAAAATTTCAGACGCTGCTTTGGATAACAGCTGCTTGATGCTCTCCACCGTGGCCGCGTCCTTCTCGGCCATGGAGAAGCGGTCGGTCGTCTCTATCAGAGCGTCGGACATCGCGAGACGCCTTGGCCTCTCGAAATCTCCGCTGTTGCTGTCCTGGAGCTTCCACGAGGCATCCCTCAACACCTGCGACGCCTGGGACTGCTCCGCCTCATCGGCGAGCTCGTCCAACCCGGGCTCTACCGGCCTCCACCGTTGCCGCGATCTCCTCGGCGAGCAGTCCGAGTCCAGGCCGAGGCTCTTTGGCGAGAGGCTCTCTGGCGAGCAGCTGCCCTCGCCGAGGCTGGACGCCTTGCTGCCCGTCCTGCTGACGGGCTCCGGCGTCTCGTCGTACTCCTGATCGTGCGCCGTCGGCACGCAGCCAACCTGCACAACGGCTCGGCTGGCCTCCGAGCCCATTCGGGAGCGCTCCAGGCGCGTCGGCAGGCTGGCGACACCCCACAAGGATGGGGATCGGCGGCCCCCGCTCTCTTGAGCCGACACAACTTGAGCCAAAATGGCTACGGAAGGGCCTCCTGGGCCGTCTTGGGGGCCTCAGGAGGCCATCTGGGTCCTTCTTGGAGCGCTCATGTGCTGTCTTGGGTCTCTCTTCGGCCTCTCTGATAACCGCTCTGATCGCTCGGGGTCTGCTGGGAAGACCCAGCTAAGCGCCCTGGGAGGTCTGGGACGAGCCGGGGGACCTTCGGCAACGGTGTCCAGGGGGCCTGGAAACCCTGGATCCTGAGGGTGGGGTCCAATTTTGGAGGGGTCGGGGGGGGGGGGGGAATTTTCCCCCCTCCCCGGGCTGGAAAAAAATATAGGAAGAGGAATAGATACACACATAAACAACAAATTGCACTGGCACTCCGCGCCATGCACCTTGGTCCGTAAAGTTTGGCATGCAGGCGGATAGGCAGAAAGGTGAAACAGACAAATTAGCGATAACTCCTTGTTGCTTTTTCCGGCATCGCCGTTATAATGATGGAATTCATGATCCATCCCTCGTGTTTCCATTTCCTCTTCCTCATTGTCGCCCTATCCTGCGACTTCTTCCCCATCCTCCTCAGCTCTTTTTGCGGAGGCTCCTCCTTGGAGAGCCTCGTGGGGGCCTCACGAAAGTTTTGAATGGCTTCTTGGGGCCTTCTCGAAGCCTCCGGCCTCTGGGGGCTTCCTCGGGCCACCCTGCTTCCAATCGCCTTCTCCCTGAACGACCAGGTCACGATTTGGAATGCTTCGGACGACGTCTTGGGGCCATCGTGGGCTGTCATGGGGCTATCTTCGGGCCATCTTGGACCCTGTTGTGCCGTCTCGGGGCTGTCTTGGACTGCCTGGGAGCCCTTTCGGATAGTTTTGGGGGAGAGTTCGGGCCTCCTGGGCGGTCTCGGACGCCCAGGAGACCGAAGAACAGAGCACCCCCCAAATCATACAAAACCATTGAAAATCAAGTTCTGTCTGCGTTTAGGAAGCCTCTTGGGGGTCTTCTGTGGGTCGCCTTCGGGCGTATGGTGGGTGTCTGGGGCTTCTTGGGGCCCTCGGGGGGGCCGTCCGGCCGCCCTTCTGACCGATTTGGGCCCGTTGCCCAGGGCCAGCAGGGGCTTCCAGGAGCTCCGCAAAGCTTGGGGGGCCTCCTGCAGGGGCCCCCAGGGCCACGGATCCGTGGGGTTCCGTTTCGGTGGGAAGGGGGGCGGGGTTTCCGCAAGGTCCGGGTACGAATGAAAGGGAATGTGGCGGGTTTCGGAAATCCTGAACCCAAAAATGCTGTCATCTCTTGACATCTCTTGGGGGCGTGTCCCGAAGGGCCTTTTCTTAGCGTTTCCCAATGCGCGTGCCCAGAAGCTCTCCAGAAGGTCCTTCCGAAGCTCTCTCCAGGTGCTGCCAGAGTTCTTCGCCAAGCTTTTCCAGGCCCTTCGGGCGCCTTGCTATCCTGGTTTGGGACTCCACAAGTTGTCATCTCCTGATATCTCTTGGGGGCGCATCTTGTACTTCCGCTGGCTTCCGCCAGCCTTCCGCCAGCTTCCGCTGGCGGAGCCGCCCTCGTTTTACTTCCGCGCGCTTCCTCGGGCCTTCACCGCCTTCCACCGAGAAAGGGATGGCAACTGCTTCGATCCTCGACGGCGAGGCCCTTTCTGGAATGTTCCGTGTAAGTGTATATACATATAGATATGCATACATACATACATACATACATACATACATACATACATACATACATACATACATACATACATACATACATACATACATACATACATACATACATTACATACAT